TCTTAGTGAAAAGAGCCAGAGTGTGCCACTTAATAAGATAATTTGATTTTGAAACTGTTAGCCTAGATTATGATTTTTAAAAATTTTGATTGATTTAAGAGAGGAAGGGAGAGGGAGAGAGAGACACAAACACCAGTGATGATGAGAATCATTGGTTGGCTGCTTCTTGCACGACCCTCATTGGGGATGGAGCCTGCAACCCAGTATGTGCCCTGATTGGGAATCAAACCATGACCTCCTGGTTGATAGGGCACTAAAGTTTTACATTTGGCAAAGTCCTAATATACCCCTTACATCCATACCCTTTTTTTAGCTGCTATATGGTAGAAAGGATAACCCTATGGTGAAGAATTATCCATTATCCTTAGTTGCCTCAAATGACAACTGTGTCTTTCATTTGTCAAAGCAGAGCCTATTGATAGCTCCTAGCATAATGGACAGACTCATGTTAACCTAACCGTTTTGTCAGTCCTTACCAGATATGTAGCCCAACCAGCTTTATTTTTTTTTAGAGACAGAAACTTTATTTTACTCATTTATTTTTTAAACTGGAGGCCCAGTGCACAAATTCATGCACCAGCGGGGTCCCTTGGCCTGGCCTGTAGGATCAGGCCAAAACCGGCTCTCCTACATCCCTCCGAGAGGTCCTGGATTGCGAGAGGGTGCAGGCCAGGCTGAGGAACCCCACAAGTGCACAATCGGGGCCGGGGAGGGACATGGGAGGTTGGCCAGCCAGGGAGGGTTCCAGGGTGTGTTCAGCCTGACTCGGTCTCACTCAGTCCCAATTGGCCAGACCCCAGCATCAAGCTAACGAAGGAGTAGGAGCATCTGCCCCATGGTGGTCAGTGCACATCATAGCGACAGGTCGATCAGTCGACTGTCTGCCCATCTGGTGGTCAGTGCCTGTCATAGCAAGCGATTGAGTGGCCTTAGCATATTATTAGCATATGATGCTTTAATTGGTTGACGGAAGACCAGACACTTAGCATATTAGGCTTTTATTATATAGGATAGGGTTTATTGATTTGAGAGAGAGAAAGGGGATGAGAGAAAGAGAGAGCAACATCAATATCAGAGAGAAACATTGATCGGCTGCCTCCCTCAGGCTCCCCAACCAGGCATCCAGCCCACAACCTGGGCATGTGCCCTGACCCAGAATCGAACTGGCAGCCTTTCAGTGCATGGGACGATGGTCAACCAACTGAACCCCCCAGAGAGGATACAAGTGCCAAGTTGTCCAGCATCACCTTGTGGTACAGGAGTCTTTGAGTCTCCTCCAGGAGCCCCCACTCCTCCTGGGAGAAGTACACTGCCACGTGGTCAAAGGTCACATGGTCCTCAGCCGGGTGCCTCGGCAGGGCCACCGCCATCGGACTCTCAGGGCGGAGCGGGCGGGGGCCAGGAGGGGACCCTGTACTGCCCTGAAGCGGGTCCCTCAGGGGGTTGCTGAGCCCCACACCCGCTTCTGTGCTGCGGGGACACCGGCTCCTTCGCGCCTTCTCGGCACCCTCCCAAGTGAAGCTGGAAAGAATGCCTGTGAGGATGACCCAGCAGGTCTAGCCCGCCCAACCAGCTTCTTAAACTACTTAAATTTCTCTTCAATACCTATCAGGTCTTTTTAAAAATAGATATATTTTTATTGATTTCAGAGAGGAAAGGAGAGAGAGAGAAACAATTTTGCTAAGTTGATCATTTCAGGTCAATTTTTACTATTTCTCTCTTATTTACACAAAGTTCTTGGATTGTAGTTATAAGCATTAGTCCTGTTCCTTTGCTTTGTTTTTTATTCCTTTCAGGAGTCTAATAAGATGTATGTTAAATCTTTTCTGCCTGTTTTCCATTTTAAGCACTTTCTCTCTTGACCTGTTTTATTTCTTTATGTACGTTTCATTTCCTTGGTTGTTTCTTTCTCTTTTTCAGTGATCTGTATCAATATTCCACTTGAATCTTTCCTGCCTTGGACAGACAGTGGTAATTCTTCATTTCTGAGGTGGTTTTGTTTTTTCCTTCAAACTTTTTTTTCTGATTTGATCAACTCCTATGGCATTCCTTCCTCTTTTTGTCCATTTCTGTTCTTAGGTTTTGAACTTCTGATCTATATTTGGTAGGTATACACATACTCATATACTTATCCTATGCTTGTTTGAGGATATTTAACTTTATTTTGTAACTGTACTGTATTTTGAGGGAGAATTTTCATTAGATGAAATGTTATAATTCACCTTGTCTGTTTTCTTCTTGAAGTAGTTTTGTATTATGTTGATTTGACTTTTTAAAAATGGGCCTTTTTTGTGGATACCTTCCTGGTTGAAAAATGTGTATTTTGTCAGTATAGTGAAGTGCAATTTCTTCAGTAGGTGTTTTTGTGGTGGTGGAGGTGGTGGTATATATGTGGGGATGAGGAGGGGTGGCTGGCATGACTTTTTCGTTTCTTACAGGATCCTTAATTTTCCTTGTATCCTTTCCCTTCACTGCCATATCTTTAAAGGACACTACTTCCTTGTCAGTGAAGCTGATTCTCCCTTAGAAGCAATACTTACCTGAAGCTGACAATTCTAGTCCCACTCATTTTCAAGTCTCTTTTCCTATAATTAGTATTAGAATCTACCGAGGTCCAGACTGTATTCAATATTACAGCACTTAATGTTTGTTTTTTTTTTAAATATATTTTATTGATTTTTACAGAGAGGAAGGGAGAGGGATAGAGTTAGAAACATCGATCAGTTGCCTCCTGCACACCCCCCACTGGGGATGTGCCCGCAACCAAGGTACATGCCCTTGACCGGAATTGAATCCGGGACCTTTCAGTCTGCAAGCCGAAGCTCTACCCACTGAGCCAAACCGGTTACAGCAGCCCTTAATGTTTGACATTTTCTTTCAGGGTTTGATTTTGCTCATGCTTTGTCTATATCTTCCACTCTCCTTTTCTCTTTATTAAAGATTCTCTGAAGACTTGTCTCTCCCACTCAAGATCCAGTCTTCCAGCTTTGTTGCAATTTGATACTTATCATTATTCTAGTAATTTGATGTTTGTGGTGTCTGTCCTCTACCTCCTAGTATGGCTAAAGGCATGGACCATGTGTAATTTCATTCATACTCTTTTTACACCTAATGGTTTTTGAAGATGTGTGGAGAGATTCTGGTTTAGGCATTTGCCATTATCTTTTAGACCCAAGCATAATTTACCCCATTATCTCTCAAAAGAACTTGATCTCTGTTGATAAGCATCTCCAATTCATTCATTTTCATGCTTTCTAATAGTCTACTAATTGTACAATGTATTCATTCTCTTATTGATACTTACATTGCATTTAGTATTTCACTATTACAAAAAAATTCTTCAAAGAACATACCTGTATAAATGTCTTCATTTACTCATGCAAACATTTCTCTATGGCAGTGGTTCTCAACCTGTGGGTCATGACCCCTTTGGGGGTCGAACAACCCTTTCACAGGGGTTGCCTAAGACCATCGGAAAACACATATATAATTACATATATATGTGTTTTTGTGATTAATCATTATGCTTTAATTATGTTCAATTTGTAACAATGAAATTGGGGGTCACCACAACATGAGGAACTGTATTAAAGGGTCATGGCATTAGGAATGCTGAGAATCACTGCTCTATGGTATCTATTTGCATACACCAAAAAGTGCTGGATTGCAGAATAAGTGTACCTTCACCTTTACCAGAAACTGCCTAATTGCTTAAAAAATGACTGTAATAATTTATAACTCTATGAGCAGTATTAAGAGAGTTCTCGCCCTGACAGGTTTGGCTCAGTGGATAGAGCGTCGGCCTGCGGACCGAGGGGTCCCGGGTTCAATTCCGTTCAAGGGCATGTACCTTGGTTGCAGGCACATCTCCAGTAGGGGGTGTGCAGGAGGCGGCTGATCGATGTTTCTCTCTCATTGATGTTTCTAACTCTCTATCCCTCTCTCTTCCTTTCTGTAAAAAATCATTAAAATATATTAAAAAAAAAAGAGAGTTCTCATTTTTCTACACTCTTGTTATAATCAAGGTTAACATATTTGTAGATCTGAAGCATGTGACATATTATTTTGTCTTTAAAAAATATTTTTTTATTGACTTCAGAGAGGAAGAGGGGAGGGAGAGAAATATCATTGATGAGAGAGAATTATTGATCAGCCATCTCCTGTACACCCCCTACTGGGGATAGAGCCTGCAACCTGGGCATGTGCCCTTGACTGGAATCGAACCTGGGACCCTTCAGTACGAAGGCTGACGCTCTATCCCCTGAGCCAAACCAACTAGGACTATTTTGTCTTAATGTGCATTTACCTGATGATTAGTGAAGATTTGCTTTGTCTTTTCACCTTCTTTTCCCATTTTTTATAGGGTTGTTGTGTTTTCTTATTTAGTTCTTTGTATATTCTAGAAATGAACATTTTTGAAATTCTGTATTTTGTAAACATATTTTCCAAGTTTGTGCCTTACTTTTAATTTGCTTAAAGTTATATAGAAGTTTTAGTTATGTTGTTAAATCTATCAAATGCTTCCATTAACGTTTGTATTTTTAATCCTTTGATCACCAAAGTCATGAATATATACTTCTGCATTTTCTTATAAAGTATCTTATTTTGCCTTTCATATTTACATCTTTACTCACCTGTAGTTTATTTTTGTGTATAATGCCAAGTAATAATTTAATTTTTTCCTGCGTGGATTTGAGCTCCAGAATCACAAATTCGTCTTTCAAGGGCTCCTCATCTGCTCAATTATGTTCAAAACCAGCTGAGTAAGGTCTTTCACAATATCTTTAACCACATCCTTTGGCCTTATCTCTCACCACACCCACCCATTTTCTTGTCAAACTAGATTCCTTATTGCAGTCACTCTTCTTGAAATATGCCATACATCATGTTCTCTTCCTGTCGTTTTTCCTTACTGAACTGTAAGCTTCTTGAGAAAAAGACAGAATCCAATTCATCTTTGCATCTTCAATACTTAGCAGTGATTGAGCGGATTTTTCAAATACTTTTCTTCAATTTTATTCTGAATTTAATTTGGATCTTATAGGTGGGCACTTCCACCTAATATTATCCATATCAATACATTTACTCTTTCACACACAGAAAAAGTTTCCTGTCTTTTACCTACGTACCATGAAACGAGTGGTTCCAAATCTTAAAACTTTAAAAAGAACCCTCACAATACTTTTCATGAGCAGGAACCAAAGCCATCAGATCTGCCTCCCGTTTATAGGACAAAGTCTGCGGATGGCGCTAATGGTGACGTCATGAGCACCTTCTGAGGGCCTCGCGGGGACTCGCCCTTTGCATGAGATGCCAGGGGTCGTCCCTCCTCCACTCAGCTCTGAAGTGAGGCGATGCGCTGGGAACATGTTCACCTCCATCGTCCTTCCCTTCCCAGGCACTTCTTTCCGCCAGATGCCTTGACCCTGCAAAAAGGTAACAGGATGTGCAGCCTGTCCTTACGCAGTGGTTCTCAACCTTGGCTGCACATTAGAATCACCTGGGAATCTTTTTAAAATCCTGATTGCTGGGCCTCATCCTCCGGAAATTGTGTTTCTTTGTTACTAATGTTGTGGCCTCACCCCATAACAAAGAAACAGAATTTCCGGAGGATGAGGCCCAGCAATCAGGATTTTAAAAAGATTCCCAGGTGATTCTAATGTGCAGCCAAGGTTGAGAACCACTGCCTTCCATGGAACACTGGAGTGTCCACGTGGCGGTTAGCATTCCCGACTACAGAGCCCGGGCCTGTGGAGCAGGAGCCACAGTTGGCGCAAAGTTCTCAGGCGCCTTCTAGAATCCCTCGCCGCCTTTCAAGCTGCCTGGTGAAGGGGTCCCGCTGGGACCCAGGCTCCTCCTCTCGGCGGGCCTGGGCTCGGCGCCCCAGCTTACCGACCGGTGTCCTCATCACATTGATGAACAGTTGCAAGGGGAGACCGCCCCGGGCCCACCTAGCCGATTCCGAACGGGCGGGCGCACCAGTCGAGGTCGAGCCATGCGGCGAGTGAGACCATGGCGTCCCGGGAGCCCTCCGTCCCCGCTCCGAGGCCGCCGTGCGCGCGCGCCGGGACTACATTTCCCATAGGCCCCCGCGGCGGAGCCCCGCCCCGTCGGACGCCCTCCAGCCGCCTCGAGGCCACGTAGCCCCGCTCCGGGCCGCCAGGCCGCAGAGCCTTTGAAAGACGGCGGGAGGCGGTCGGTGCCATGGCGAGCCCGGGACACCTGCTGTACGCGCTGGGCCTGCTGCTGTGCGCAGCGGTGACCCTCCGGCTGTCCGCTGCCCCTGCCTCCACCCAGAAGCCCATCATCGGTAAGAAGGCGCCGGGTCCGAGCTGGGCTCCGGGGAGGGCGTCGGGTCTGGGGAAGACCGGGGAGGGGGGTGCGCTGTGAGCCCCGGGCGCAGCGGGAGAGCCGCGCCGGGGCGCCGTTTGCATCTCGCCGAAACCACGCCGATGCCTGGGTGGTTTCACAGGGCTTTAAGTTGGGAGGGTGGAGAAAACCTTGCAGATGGTTCTATTCTCGGTACACAGCTAGGGATTTCTAGGAATTAAGCAAATTCTATGCATGCATTATGCTCATTAAAATTTCACTGGTTGAGGGTATGTTTCAAGATGCAACGCACTGTACCTATAAAAATCGAGTTGACTAGATATTCAAGAAATTATGGTATGCCTCGGGTTTTGTCATCTTGAGCAGCGGAGGGCAGCAGTGGCCCGTGTGATCCTAATGCCAATTCTGTTTGGTGTTCAAATGAAGCATGTAATATTTCATTTCCAACAGATTTATATTTCAAAAAGTCAAATCCGTTTGCTTTGTCGGAAGGAATATTTGAGACAGGGCAAGGGAAAGCTACCCATGGGAAGTCAGCCTGGAATAAAAACTTGCCAGGAGTAATTTATGTCGACAATTAAGATTGGTTTAATTTTAGCTGTAATATTATGCCATTTATATTTCTTCCACGAAGAGGAGCACTTTTTTTTTGGTAACTAAGTGCAAAATAGATGAGGGTTTTTTCCTTTATATTGGTAGCGCCCAATTTTCAAATGGGTTGTGTCTCAATATTTGGAAATTGGACTGCCTTGTTTCATAGCTATTTAAAATAGAGGTTAGATTCTCCAAGGAGAATTAACCCAAAATAATAATTCTGTGTCATGGGTTTGGGAATTGTGGGTTCAGGGCGGAGGAAATAAAAAGGAGAGGAGAGGTATTCTTTTCCTTTTTCTAGAAACAGTGGTAGTTCAGGGTCAAATGTAGAAAAAATGAATATGCTTGTGGGCACCCTGATCAATTAAGACAAAATAGTTCACTGAACACGTACTACACGCAGAGCACTAAGTTAGGAAGTGCAAAGGATTCAAAGACAAAGAAGCCAAAAAAGTTGTGAGATGGCTTTAAAGTATGGGTGACATTTTGGTCACCTTCTGGGGGGCTTGGAATATAGCCTGAACTTTTCTCCCAAGATAGGAAAAGTGAGTACGTGTGGAAGCAAGGGGAGAGGGGTAAGTTGTTGGAACTTACCTGCTTGCTCTCATGTACATATTTTTCTCCTTTCTGGTATCTTGTGTTCACAAGTCCCAATTCTCCTTTGCGGCACCTCACCCTTGCCTACCCTGTGCCACTCCCATCTCCTGTGCCACTCCCTAATTTTTGCACTACCAACTTTTATTTTCCTTAAGAGGATCCTACCTACCCACGGGGAGAAAAACAGTCTTACTGAACCAGTTTTGGCATTTGGTCTATATGAACTGAGTGTCTGAGAAAATGTCAGTTGTAAGAAGCTGGGATTACAGAAGTGTTGTCTCATGTCACCTGCAGAGACATTGTAAGTGTTCCAAACGGTGGAGTAGCGATTGTTAGGGGCACAGGCGTACTCTCTGGATAGACGTGTTTTTATGTGACTCAGTATTATTCTGGGGCTGAGGTTTCAGTTGTGAGAGGCAGCCAGGGAGGTAGGTGTGGCAGAGCACATAGGGTCTTGTAATAGTTATGAAAGTTTAGGAGCCCATTGAAGTTCAGGGAGGTGCACACAGCAGGGCGGTGCACCCAGCAGGGCGGTGCACCCTGCTGATCTCTCTCTCTGACCTCATTTTCTATGGCTTTTCCCTGTAGCTCACACAGGGCTCTGGTCTATATGGACTCCTTGCAATGGGACAGGCACACACCTGATTCAGAGCCTTTGTACTTGCTGTTCCCTCACCCTGGATCTCTCTTCCTCCAGATTTCTGCATATGCCTTGTCTCCTCACCTCTCTTAGGTCCTGGATCAAATGTCATGGTCTACCTTCTCAGGGAGGCCTTGCCTAGCAAGCATATTTAAGAGATCCTCTTTCCCCATAGATGGGACCTCCCCCCACCCGGACCCCCCCGCCCAACCCCAAACACACACCTTCTTCCTCTGATTCACTTTTCTCCATAGCACTATGTATTTTATCTTGTTTATTCTTTTTGTCTTCTTTCCTTCCCACACACTAGAATTAAAGCCCACAGGGTGGTGATTTTTATTTGTTTTATTCATTAGTGTGTCCCCAGCACCTAGTTCAGTGCCTGCTATGTAGTATGATTTTGTAATATATACTGAATGAATGAATGAATGAATGAATGGTGATATCAGGTTTCTTACCATGTGGAGAACTGGTTGGAGATGGTGGGGGTTGTTTAAGAAAGGTTGTAGAGAGACCTTTTACGAGGCTATTATAATAGCTCGGGGGAAGCAAGATGTTTGCTTGGATTGATTGCTTTGGATACTAAACCAAACCCTAAATATACTGTGTATTTTCATATATGTGTATGTATATATGTATATGATAAATTTTAATTTATAAATTAGGCTCAGTAAGAGATTAGTAACAATAACTAATAAATAATAAAATAGACCAGTTATTACAATGCAGTTGACCCATACAGTCGAAAATTTGAATATAATTTAAGTCGACCCTCCTTATCAGCGGATTCCCAACTCTGGATTAAAAATACTGTTTTTGATCTGTGGTTGGTTGAATCTGCATATGTGGGGATATAGAGGGCCGAGTATATAGTTACTGAAAAAATCGTGTGTAAGTGGATCCATACAGTTCAAACCCGTGTTCAAGAATCAGCTCTATGCTGTAATGAAAGTTAGGTGAATGTGGTATCTCTCCCAAAATATCTTACTGTACTCCACTCAACTTTTCCCTTGAGGAAGCACTTCACAGCTTCTCTTGCCATGTTCGAATTGCCAGCACTGGTCTTGCACTTTGGGGCCATTATTAGGTAAAATAAGCATTACGTGAACTGTTATACCAGACAGTCGATGTGCTAACCAAGACAGTTACTAAGTGGTCTGGAGCATCTACGGCGTGAAGATGCTGGATAAAGGGATAGATTCATGTCTGGGGTGGGGTGGAATGGGACAGCTTAAGATTTCATCATGCCTCACAGAACAGTGTACAATATATAACTTATGAATTATTTATTTCTAGAATTTTCCATTTAATGTTTTCAGGCCGTAGGTGACAGTGGGTAGCCAAAACCTCACCAAGTTAAACCTTGGATAAGGGGGAACTACTGTTGTTATATTTTTACTGTGATTTGTTTCAGTTTCTGAGCAGGAAAAAAGGCAGTTGTTTGAAACTAAAACTTTTTTTGTTTGTAATTTAGGAATATTAATGCAAAAGTGCTATCCTAAGGCAATGAAAAACCTGGGAAAATACTATATTGCTGCATCCTATGTAAAGTATTTGGAGTCCGCAGGTGCAAGAGTTGTACCAGTAAGGTATGATTTAGTATTTTTTACATTGTATAAATAAAGCTGCTGTTTTACCTTTAAAATTAGCTTTTATCTCTAAAATTAATGCCTCTCTTTGGATTGCATCATTTAAATGTGGTACTACTGCACCTGATTTTTGCCACAGATCTGAAGCTTAAAGTCTCTCACTACATTGCTTAAAGTATAAAGTGACGCTTATCTCTCACATCATTAGAGGTATGTCATATGTATTAGATAGATAATGAAATGATAGTTGTCTTTACAACCCAAAAGACGGTCCTCATTAGACAATCGTGAAATTAGTGGAGTAAAAGAATCTATAACTTTACCAGCTTTATTCGATAATATTAGGATAAGGGTCCACTTAGGAAATAAAGGAGATTTTTAGAAGATGACTTTCGAAATACCTCCACACTCTACTTTAAAAGTTTGTAAGTAACGAATACAGCAGTGTTGCTTCAGTATAAACTGCCGGTATTACAGGTTTAAAAGAGCAACATTGGTTTTGTGATGTAATGACCTAATAAGAATAAAATGATTTATACCATAGATTGATTGGGAAAGAGTTGCATTTTTTAACAAACAAAACATGTGTTCACAATATCTTATCATCCAAAATTAGTGTATTTTGGAAGCTTCCAGTGCCACCTTCTAATCCATTATAAGTGATTTCACACACAAAATACCACTTTTTGCTCTGGGCAAACTGCTTTTATAAATAATTCTGCATTTAAAAACTGTAATATGCTCTGGCCAGTGTGAATAAATGGTTAGAGCTTTGGCCTGCACACCAAAGGATCATAGGTTCAATTCCCAGTCAAGGGCACGTACCTAGGTTGCAGGTTTGATCCCCGGCCCCAGTTCATGTGTTTCTCTCTCAATCAGTGTTTTTCTCTCTCTCATACTCTCTCCCCTTCTGGGCTCCCTCACTTCCACTCTCTCTAAAGAACCAATGGAAAAAATATCCTTGGTGCTCGAAGATTAACAACAACAACAAAACAAACAACCCCCCCTCCCCCCAACCAAACAAAAAAATCTATAACCAAAAATACTGTTCAAATGGAATATTAATAATCTAAATGCAAATATTACACTTTGGAGAATTATATCACAAAATTGTTCTATGTTTAGTTTCATAAGGATTGTCTTTTTAAAAAATATATATTTATTGATTTCAAAGAGGAAGGGAAAGGGAGAGAGAGATAGAAACATCAATGATGAGAGAGAATCATTGATCGGCTGCCTCCTGCACACTTTCTACTGGGGATTGAGCCCACAACCCGGGCATGTGCCTGCCATTGGCCGGAATCGAATCCAGGACCCTTCAGTCCCTGGGCCAATGCTCTATCCACTGAGCCAAACTGACGAGGGCAAGGATTGTCTTCTTGCTGTTCTTTTACAGTTAGCTGTCCCGTACCCCAAGATGAACATTGCTTTTGATGTTAGTCTTTAATTCCTCAGTAGCAGATCTAATTTTTCAAATGAAATCGTACTTGGAAACCAGATAGTTCCAGAGTTTTAGAGATGCAGAAGAGGCTCCAGGGAACCTTCAGAACAAACAGCCTTTCAAAGTTTTGATCATGGTCTACGGCCATACCACCCTGAACGCGCCCGATCTCGTCTGATCTCGGAAGCTAAGCAGGGTCGGGCCTGGTTAGTACTTGGATGGGAGATCATGGAAGCATTTTCTGCAAGCCATTCTTCTAGGACATTAGAACTGACAGCATGGGTGGGAAGTAGGAGGGACAGGCAGGTACTAGTTCAGAGACTTGCAGTAGGCTGTAAGTGGGAAGGGTTTGGCTTAGAACAGTGGTTGTAGCCTTGATAGATAAATATTAAGAAAAATAAACACGACTTGACTACTGTAAGGGTACAGGGAGGAAGAGATGAGAAACAGAAGTTTTGAAATTGGGGAAGTGTTGAAACCAGTGATTCACCAAGTACTGGCATGTGTGACAGACACTGAAAATGTGACTGTCGGCATAAAGGTTGATTTCCAGCTTGGGTTCCCAGACTTCTTTTTAAATAAATTGCTTGGAATCCTATATAATAATAGACAAACATGGTAATTAACCGTACCTCCGACACGCTTCCCATTGGCTAATCAGGGTGATATGCAAATTAGCTGCCAACCAAGATGGCGGCCGACAGCCAGGCAGCTGAAGGGAACAGGAGGCTTGCTTGCTCCAGTGATGGAGGAAGCCAAGGTTCCCCACCTGCCGCTGCCGGGCTCTGAGCTGCACTCTAAGAAACAATGTTGCAATTATAGAAGCTAAACAAACCTAGATACCTGCTTTCAGCCAGCCGGGCCTCAGCCAGCAGGACCGCAACAGTGTTTCAATTATAGAAGCCAAACAAACCCAGATACCTGCTTTCAGCAGCCGAGGCCTCAGAGCTGGAGCCCGCCTCAGAGCTAAAGCCAGCTCTCAGCTACAGTGACAGCCATAGAAGGTAAATAAATCACAGAAAGAAAAAAAAAAGGAGAGGTTGGGAGCTTCAGTTGCCTGCCAGCCTGAAAACGGCCCTCAGCCCCTCACCCAGACTGGCCAGGCACCCCAGTGGGGACTCCCACCCTGAAGGGGGTGTGACCAGCTGCAAATAGCCATCATTCCCTCATCCAGGCTGGCCAGGCACCCAAGCGGGACCCCCACCCTGATCCGGGACATCCTTCAGGGCAAACCAGCCGGCCCCCACCCATGCACCAGGCCTCTATCCTATATAGTAAACGGGTAATATGCAAACTGACCCTAACAGCAGAAGGACTGGGAATGACTGGTCACTATGACACACACTGACCACCAGGGGGCAGACTCTCAATGCAGGAGCTGCCCTCTGGTGGTCTGGGCGCTCTCACATGGGAGGAACACAAACCAGGCTGATTGCTGCCAGTACAGCGGTGGTGGTGGGAGCCTCTCCTGCCTCCTCAGCAGCGCTAAGGATGTCCGACTGGAGCTTAGGCCTGCTCCCTGCTGGCAAGTGGACATCCCCCGAGGGCTGCTGGGCTGCCAGAGGGATATCTGATTGCCATCTTAGGCCCTATCCGCTGGGGAGCAGGCCTCAGCCAGCAAGTGGTCATCCCCTGAGGAGTCCCAGACTGCAAGAGGGCACAGGCTGGGCTGAGGGATCCCCCCCGCCCCCACCCACGAGTGCACAAATTTTTGTGCACCGGGCCTCTAGTTAGAATCATATGATCCTATAAAAACAACGTAATAGATTCCCAGAGCAACCTGCAAAGGGTTACCTAATGTAGAATGAGACAGAGGATCTCACTGATAATGTCAGGTTCATTTCTGCAGGTGGGATGCGGGGAGCCAACTCCTGCAGGTTAGAAGGAAAAAGGTGGAAGATGGGAGACACAGGCAAAATTCTGGAATAGGTAAAGAAGTTTGTCTTTGGTCTTCTTTTGTCTTCTTTCTACTGCCTTCTCTCTCAGGTGCCTGGTGCTCTCGGGTTATCCCAATTTCCCATGGTGGGCCTGGCCCTAGTGGGACCCACAGAGACTCCTTTTCCTGAGAGGTAGCATGTGGCGCCCCACGGGCTGCTTTTGGTTTAAAAATGTGCTTTGTTCACACAGCATTTTAAACATTAGCAAATCAAAAGACTAATAAAATCTTGACTTTTGGCCTCTTTTTTTTTTTTTAACCAAGTTATTTGGAGCTGATTTGAAGTGGAGCAAACTGGCAACAACGCCCTTCACTCCTTGTCATGCTGTGTCATTTGTCATCATTACCAGGCTTACGTGGTATTTTTTTTAGTTAAAGAGAGGGTGAACTATTTCTCTTAATCCCTTCACCTTTTTCACCTAGTCCCATAACCCCCTTCCCATCTGGTAATCATCAATTTGTTCTCTGTATCCCCAAATCTCATGGTCTTTGATATTTTGCATATGAACACATACGTCACAATATTAAATTATATTAGATCACAGGAAAGCATGTTTACTTGTCTGATTAGCAAAACAAGGACATAATTGTGTGGCTTATATGTAGTTTGAAAAGCTGCCTCTAGGAAGGTAGAGAGGTGATATTACCTAGTATTTAAGAATTATTCTTCATCTGGCTTTTAACAATAATGTGACTTCATTTAGAGCCTGACTGTTTTCTTAGGTTTGGAAATGGATGTTTCATCACTGTTTTTCTTGTTTTCAGGCCTGATCTTACCGATGAAGAGTATGTAAAGCTTTTCCATTCTATTAATGGGTAAGTTGGTGGCACTGGCTTGATATGGTGTATGAGATCTATGTTGTCGGCTCTTGCAAAAAAGGACACAAGTATTCCACGTGTTTCTGTGTAACCGTCTTACAGTGGTGTGCCATTAGTTTTCTGAGTTCTTTCAGAGGAATTACATTGTTGAGAGAGAGGTGCAATTGTCCTGCAGAGAAGGAAGCATAAGAAATTAATGTTGCACAGTAGACATATGTCATTTTTTTAATAGTCTTTGTTCTTCTAATGCCTGTCTTAAATATTTTGAAGCCACTTTGAATGGCATGGCATATTGCTTGCTTGGGGGATTTATAAATTTTAAGCCTAAGGATACTACTCAGTTCTCTTTCAGAAGGTGATTTGAATAGAGCTTGGAAAAAATTGTCTATACTGTGGCATCACCAAAAAAGTTATGATTGGTTACCTCACAGAAAAAAAAACTTTTAATAATATGAAAAAATGTTCACCCTTATGCATAATTAAAGGAAATCTAATTCTAGCAATTAAAAAACATTTTTAAAAACTATCAAGTTGACAAAGATCAGAAAATTTGTTAATATTGTTTGTTGAAGATGTGAAGAAATAAGTATTCTCATACTTTGCTTATGGCTGTGTAAGTTACATAGTCTTTTGGGGGCCAGTTTTGTTAATATCTATTGCAATTAAAAATGCACATACCCTTTGAGCCAGGACATCCTTTGTAAGGAATATTATTTTATAAGTCTATATACCCCGACATGTGTAGAGTTGGGTCCAGACATATGCACTATAGTATTGTTTGAAACACACTCAATTTCGAACCCACTCATTAGCCCATCAGTTGAGAATTTCGTAAATAAAGGAGGCTGTCTGCATCTGATAGAATGTGTGACAGTTTAAAAATCAGGATCTCTGTCGGTGCTGCTTTGGACACTGTTGTTACTTGAACAATGTGATATTATACGAAAAAAGCAAGGCACATAGTGGTATGTGTAGTATACTCCCATGTACTTTGGTTCTTAAGGTAGGCGTGAGGGTGACTCGTGTAACATAAATCTGTCAGGTCAACGAAACAGATTTTAGCGGTGGTTGTTCCTGATTGGGAGTGGGATGGAGGGAGTCTATGTTACTGTAAAGTTTTTATAAAAAGAGCTTTTTTTAAAAAAAAAAATTTTAAAAGCTGTATTCATTTATTACAATTTTTTTAAAAAGGCTGTGTTCAAAACTTGCCTTCAGACTTCAGTTCTTTTATTTTTTGTTTAAAGATCTGCTTTTCTTATTCATGTATTTATTTATTTATGTATGTATTTATTTATTTTATTGTCTAAAGTTTTACATATGTCTCCTTTTTCCCCAATTGGACCTCCCCCCCCCCCCCCCCCGCCATTCCCATTCGGGGCAAGCCCCCACTGCCCCAGTGTCTGTGTCTATTGGTTATGCTAATAGGCATGCATACAAGTCCTTTGGTTGCTTTCTAACCCCCCTCCCCTACCATTTGTCTCTAGATCGATCTGTTCTTGTTCATCAAATAGACTTCAGTTCAATTTGGTTCAGTAAATATTTACTATAAAATTAGTTCCATTTAGTAAAACATCTAAAATGCCCGTTATGTTCAGTGTTCTTTGGCCCGGGCAAGAATAAACAAGCCCAGGCCGGACTCTGTGCTGGAACCTCCGCATGGTCACCAGGAAATGAGCACTGCTCTGCCACTTCAGAAGCACCGTCCCGGTCCCTGTGAGGCAGTAGAGCCCATCCCGTGTGGGGGTGCAAGGAGGTGGAAAGGCAGAGCCTGGCTTTAAAGGAGTTTGCCAACTGGGAGGGGCGGTCAAGCTTTGCTTTATGAAAGGATTTTGTGCTTAAACATACCAGGTTTGATCAGAGGCAGCTTTGTAAGTACTGAGCTGATGAAAAGGGAGAACTGCTAATCGGTCTTCATTAATCCACTTTGAATTGTAGCATTTTCTGCATGGTTTTGTGGCAGGTGTTCCACCTCATACTTTTTATGATTTTATACTGAACTGTGATCTTACTAACAGGAAAACTTACTCATCTCTGGCTGTCCAGGCTAATACTGAGCCTGGCTCATGCAAGAAGTGGAGTATAGTTGTTGAATGAACAACCATCTCAACAGCATTATTTCACATATCTCAAATTCATATTTAAGTATTTTCAAAATGTTAATACCTTTTTAAAAAATATATATTTTATTGATTTTTTTACAGAGAGGAAGGGAGAGGGATAGAGAGTTAGAAACATCGATGAGAGAGAAACATCGATCAGCTGCCTCCTGCACACTCCCTACTGGATATGTGCCTGCAACCAAGGTACATGCCCTTGACTGGAATCGAACCTGGGACACTTGAGTCCACAGGCTGACACTCTATCCTCTGAGCCAAACCAGTTAGGGCAAAATGTTAATACCTTTAATCTAACTTTTATAATCTCTTTGGACTATCCCTGCTTATTTCAAGACGTTATAATGTTTAAAGTTTAGAATTAGTTTAAAAAGTTGATGTAAAAACATAGTAAATATTTTTCTGTATCTTACCTTTATGGGTAGAATAAAATAAAATGAAATGTTTGCTACTTCCCCCACCTTCCCCCACCTAGACTTCTAGAAATGGGATTGTGTTCTTCTTCAAAACTCTTCTAATCCCATGCTCATTACTGAAGAGATTTCAGGGTGATAATATAGCATTAAATTCTCATGGATATTTAGTTTTAGCGTACATATATTTTTATAATCAGTTTGTGCTTTATGGTTAAGAAAAACTTCTTTGTGAGCCAAACCTGTGTCATGATTAATGGACCTCTAGTTGATGCTGGCATCACGGATCACCTTCCTGTAAACCTACCTGTACTTGGGATGTTATCTCTACTTGATTTCTAGCTCTGTGTGCTCCCCTTCTACCCCATTTATTCACCTTGCCAACAATAAACTTGTTTATCAAAGGAGTTTTGGGAGAATATGCACAAAAGTATTCTTAACTTCAATAATTTACAAATGGGTAGGATTGTAAATATTTCATACTTCCTTTTGCCTTAGTTTTCTCATTTTCTGTAATGATCTTGTTGCTTACGTAATAAGGAAGGAGTTGTTTTAAAATAAAAAGATGGTTTGGTTTCTGTAGGGCGGGGTGGAAATGCTTTCTTTCGGATGTTGTTTCAGGGTCCTCTTCCCTGGAGGAGGCGCTGACCTCAAGAAGTCAGGTTATGCCCGCACAGCCGAAATATTTTACAGCCTTGCCACACAGGTAAATATCAGTTGTTTCTTATTATTCCAGATGGGGTTTTTAAAAATACATGTTTTTATTTATCTTTCTTAAGGAGAGAGGAAGGGAGAAGGAGAGATAGAAACATAATGAGAGAGAATCATCCATCAGCTGCCTCCTGCATGTCCCCTATTGGGGATGGAGCCTGCAACCCAGGCATGTGCCAAAAGCCTGAGACTTTTTGGTCCATGGGAGGACCCACACCAACTGGGGCCCAGGTGGGTTTTTGTAATTTTCCATGGGGATAATTCCTTTTCAGGCAGACGATAATACTTCCTTCATAGTTACTCCAGCCTCATCATCCCCTCACCTCTTGAGGTGTCTGCTCATGAGTAGCCAGTGGTGGCTATCGCTCATTTTCTATTTCATTTAATTCTGGGCTCCGGGGGCCCTTCAGAGCCTTGCTGACCGGCCCTCTCTGTTTGTGCTCGCTAATGTGAACTGGGTCCTCATGGTGGCTTAGTAGGCTGTTTTTATTATGTACTGGGCGTTATTCACGTATTACTAATTTTCATCTCCTCTTGAAAGCTGCTCTTTGTCCCCACCTAGTCGATGTATCTATAAATTCTGAGATAATGGAGGAAGGAGTGTGTTCAAAACCAGACAGTTATCCAAAGCGACAAGATTTATACAAGATGTAAAAATAGGCATTTTATCTAGCATCGTCTTTAATATTTATAGTCCCTGTTACTTGTATTATTTGGTAGTTGACTGGCAGATGTCCATTTCTTTCCCAAAACAACTGAGGTTGGCTAGTGTGTTTGATTAAAACGGGGTTATTATGTGGGAGCTTGGAGGTTAAATGGCAGCTTACGTTTGGAACCTGGAAAATGCTTCAGAAACCCATGTATCTCTCAGGTGCCAGTCTTGTAATGACAAACCAAATGTACAATTTTTGTTTTGAGAAGGTTGAGTAAGCTTCGTTTTCTCTTTCAAAGAGTTTTGATGATGGAGACTACTTTCCTGTGTGGGGCACATGCCTTGGATTTGAAGAGCTTTCGTATCTGGTCAGCGGAGAGTCATTATTAACACACACAAATACTGAAGGAATCACAATGCCGCTGAACTTCACTGAAAGTAAGATTTCTCCTTTTGACCTTTGTTAGCTGGGCAGGATTAGTAACTAGCAAATATCAAGTAAAAAGTGCCCATGACTTTTTATTAACTTTTAAATTATTTACACAGGCTAGAGATGTGAATGACCATGTTTGTACTCAAATTATGAGGGTGGCTTAAGAAATTTTAAATTTTGATAACTCATTGGTTTGACTGGAGATTAGTGGTTTTAGTGGATTTTATTTTTCTGTGTTTAAATATATTTTATTGATTTTTTACAGAGAGGAAGGGAGAGAGATAGAGAGTTAGAAACATCGATGAGAGAGAAACATCCATCAGCCGCCTCCTGCACACCCCCTACTGGGGATGTGCCCGCAACCCAGGCACATGCCCTTGACCGGAATCGAACCCGGGACCTCTCAGTCAGCAGGCTGACGCTCTATCCACTGAGCCAAACCGGTTTCGGCTGTGTTTAAATTCTTTCCCTTGTACTTACCTTGTTTCAGGTATATTGCAGAGCAGAATGTTCCGGAATTTTCCTGCTGACTTGTTGCTGTCCTTAGAATTAGAGCCTCTGACTGCAAATTTCCACAAGTGGAGCCTCTCCAAGATGGTATCATATTAATCATGTAATGACATCAGTGCATTTTGATTAATTATAGGAGTAATTATTTTATTTTTATACTCCAGAATTTTACGAAGAATGAAAAATTAAAGGCGTTTTTCAATGTACTAACTACAAATACTGATGGCAAGATTGAGTTTATTTCAACAATGGAAGGTATATGTCACTACATGTACACTTTTCGCATATTATGTTTATTAGTTTTGATTTTATAGTTTTTTTTTAATGAATAAAATCACAATAACTTTGGGGCCTGAAGATCGAAATTAGGGCACTTTTGGAGACAGGAACTGTGTTTTGCTCATGTTCCAAAACAGTTGTGGTTTATCTGGATCATCTAGGTGGGGGGTGGGGTGAAGAAGGGAAGAAAAGAGGAATGAAGAAATAAATAGAGACAGTGACCTCTCTTTTAAGAAAAAAATATTATCGAACTTATTGGGGTAACATTGGTTAAAAAATTATAAAGGTTTGAGGTATACAATTCTATAATACATAATCTCTATCTTGTATTGTGTGTTCACCACTCACAGTCAAGTATCCTTCCATCATCATTTTTCCCCCTTCCCTGTGATCATCACCATACTGCTGTTTGTGTCTATGAGTATTTTATTGTATTTTTTTTCCCAATCCCTTTGCCTTTTTCACCCAACAGTATTGTGGATTAAGTACTTTTGACAGGTTCTCCAGCAACAACAAAAGGTGTAACTGACATACAGCAAAACATCTCCCTAAATACATTGATTAAATAGTGAGAAAATAAGGATACTCAGGCCACAAACTCCCAAGGGCTGAGTAGAGTATTTGGGTAGGACCCTCTGGAAGGAGGTGATGGAGTGATAGCTCCTGGAATCTGGAAGGCAGAGAGCACCAAATGTCTGCTTAGTTTTGAACCAAGGACCTCTTGTGTGTGAGGCGAGCCAGATGACTACTACACCACAGAAACCCGCTGAAGTGGGGTATTTAAGTCAGCATTACTGTTAATACGGAGAATTTGAGGCAAAGCTCAGGATCCCACAAACGGAGAGGGCCCCATAGAGCAGGACCTGAGGGCTACACCCTCCATGAATCCTGCCTGCAGAGCTGCAAGGAGACCTGCCCATCTGGAGTCCTGGCCTGAAGGCGGGGGTGGTAAACAAGCCTTGGTAAGTAACATGGTAGATATTCTCACTGCTTAATACTTACTCGTTTGTGTTTTTCATGCAGGGTACAAGTATCCAGTGTATGGCGTCCAGTGGCATCCAGAGAAATCTCCTTACGAGTGGGGGTTATCTAACGGCATTTCCCACGCACCCAACGCTGTGAAGGCTGCATTTTATTTAGCGGAGTTCTTTGTTTCTGAAGGTAATATGTGGGTACATTATCTTATCACTCCATTAGTGTAGTTTTGAAGGAAATGTCCTCATCTGAACTCTTATATACTCTTGCTCTATGTAAATGCTTTTAAAAAAAAACACACACACACACAAAAAACAACCTTTAAAACAGTCATTGTGAAAGCCCTGAAATTGAGGTATTAGGGATTCAACTAAAACCAGGAGAATGATTTCAATTAATAGTATTGTGTGTTCTAAACTGTGCTGAATACATGAACAACGGTGTAAAGACTGTTGAATTCTTTTTCCTTTCTTTCTTGAATACTTTTTCTTTAATATTTTCCCCTACTAGTCTTCTTTTTAGGAATAATGCTTTAGTTATAACATTCTCTGAGAATTAGATGTTATATTTTCAAGGCAATTATATAAACTGAGTATATACTCATCCTTCTGTGATTTTAAGGCTGCCTAGGGCCTTAGGAGAAAGTTCAGCTTTGCTTGTTCTTTTTTCTTCATGCTATGTTTGTGGGTAGAATTGAGAATTTATGTTTTAATTGAGTGATTCTGAGATAAGAAAGAGCTACAAGCACCACTTGCAAGGGGCAGGCATCACTCTGGTGAGGCTTGGCCATTGAACCCTTCAGCGGGCCTTGTTGGCGTCTCTCCAAGCTTGGCCTACGTTTTTAGCAACCCTTCTGCCCACACTGAGTTCACTCTGGTTTAGAATTACGCTCAGAGGAATGGGCAATTTCATGACAAAAATCCCAATTTAAAAGAAAAAAACAGTTCTCCTATGTGTAGTATTAGTTCCAGGAAGCATTTCCATGCCTTGTGTGTTGGAGTAAATGAGAACAGGATAGAGCAGTTGGCTGCAGTGTTGTCCCGTGGCAGGGCTATTATTTGTTCTTTATTTTCTAACTAGAGGCCCGGTGCATGAAATTCGTGCATGGGTAGAGTCCCTAGGCCTGGCTGGTGATCAAGGCCGCTCTGTGGGGCAACCGGCAGGGTGATCAGGGGGCCCCCCGCTGGCACCCGCCTTGGCTGGCCTGGGGCCTGCGAGCTGGGGGCAGCTCCTGCATTGAGCATCTGCCCCTGGTGGTCAGTGCGTGTCATAGCGGCTGGTCATTTCGCCGTTCGATCGATTTGCATATTAGACTTCTATTATATAGGCTATCCTTCTTTTAAAACATGCCACAACAGCCTATAGTTACTTTATCTTGATCTTAGGAAAATGTCTGAGCCTTTACCTTCTTACATCCAAACTTGACCCATGCCCCCTTCTCCGTGCCTCTCACAGTTCTGCCTGACCTGTGGGAACGGCCTCACTGCCCCACCTGACTCATCTTTGCCAGTTTCTTCTTCCTCTTCACTCTCGAAGCATCTCAGTGAAGATAGACTATAAAAACATTACTATCTACAATTCTGTGTGGTTCCCAGACTTGACTTCTTGAGTGTTAGAACCTTGCCCTGGTTATATTTCTATCCCCAGTCTCTCATCAAATCCTATATGCAGTAGGCACTTAGTAAGTGATGCATGGGGTGTGAGCACCCCATTTGGTCTGGGTGGGGCAGATGTGCAGCTGTGTCAGCAGGTAACTTCTCTACATCTTTATTTGGGGGAAGTTCTATAAGGTATGTTTCCTTTTGGGTACTCTTTTCCCACTTAATACGGATGACAGGATGAGCCATTATAAAGTAACCTTTTGAAAATTATATCCTATCCTTTTAAGAATTCACATTTTCTTTTTCTTGCAGCTCGGAAAAACGGTCATCATTTTCAATCTGATGTTGAAGAGAAAGAAGCACTGATTTATCAGTTCCATCCCGTCTATACTGGAAATATTTCTCAATTTCAGCAAAGTTATATATTTAATTGAAAGCTTTCCATATGTTAACAGAAATTTTGAATAATTCCATGATGAAATTGTTTCAATAACTTGATACTCATGGCAGTAATGGAAAGCCACTGAGATTTCGTCTTTATGTTGTTACTGGCTCTGCATCTTTATTCAGTATATTTGACTATATCACATTTGATAATTCGTGAGACAGATAAACAATCATAGTGTATTTCATGTAAAAACTTCCTTTTATCTCAAGATTAGAAAAAAATTCATTTATTGAAAATATAGGTATTTTTTTTCTGATTGATTCTGGAAATAAACACCACCCACTACCCAGTCTACCCATCCTTGCTGAAGACTCTTTAAATCCTATCTCCAGTTCACTGCGACCTCTCTCTCCTTTGAGTCTCAGGAGTATCCAGGCCCTTCATAAGTACTTGTGACTATTTGTGAATGAACTTTTTTTCCCCCATGGAAAATAATTTGAAAGCTGTCATACATTTATTTGGGTGCATTTTAATATATTTGTCATCCTTTGCTTCCCTCTCCCACCCTTCACTGTCCCATCTATTCTCACAGACTCCGAAATTGAGGAATTCCTTGAGGACAGCCAAGCAGCTGGAAGAGAGGGGGGATTTATGGAGCTGTTTCTGACAGTGTTTATGAACCTGTTCTCCTTGGTCCTCCACAGCTGGTGCCAGAGAAGCGGGAAAGTGGGGAAGAGTGATGGGGCAGGAGGCTGGAGGAGGTTATGAATGATTTTCTGTATAAAAGTTAATAATACTCTGAAGATACTGAGATAAACCCTAAGCTTTGGGCTTTAAGGCCAGCAGAACATAGAAATTGAAAGAGAACACATTCAGCTAAAAAGGATGTTGATGAAAGTGTGGTGCATCTAGTTTCTGTCCATAAGCATGAAGATTCTGTTAAGTCTTACTGTCTAATGTGCCATTTCTGGCGAATTTCATGTCTCCACAGTAGAAAAAGGTGGCAACACTGTTATTACTCATACTGCCCAGGCCCTTTCCAACCTGTTTGTTTGGAAATATTATAGATCTGCTTGTCTCTGAAGTTCCTTAATAACATATAATCCTGACTGTATCATCACTCACGATGCTGTGTCACCCTTCCTTCTGCCCCAGAATACTGGCTTCTAATTGCCCCCAAAGTTCTCACTGTGCTATTGGTGATGGCCACAAATGCAAGAAAATGGGAACCATATTTGTTTTTTACTCACGTTAAGTTTTCCATTTTTCCAACCATGTATATTTTTGGAGTCTTTACACTGGGATTACTTTATTCCGAGAATGGAGTCTCTTTGAAAGTTGCAACACCCCTGTTTTCCACCCACTACCACCTGCAGGAAGGCTATGCAGAGGCCTGAGGGCAAGTGAGAAGTTCGGGAATCTGGTCTACTGGAGATCCACCACTGACCCCTGGGCTTGAGCCACATGTGTGAGCCCATGTGCTGGCTCTTAACTCCCAACTGCAGTGTCACCCCCTGTTAACAGCGCGCAAAGGCAGTGACGTGGCAACACCCATCTTTTAGCCTCCATGCCTCCAGCTCCAGCCACTAGCACCCCAAGTATTCACTCCACTCCTTCCACAAGCTCCACATCATGTGCAGGCAGTCTCCTAGGGCTGGCCGTCCACCTCCTCCCAGGCTCATCAGCAAGCACTTCGAGTCCATGCCCTCTTGCCCCCGTTGATGTAACAAGGTCAGCCTGCCTCGGAGCAGTCTTAAGCTGAGCTAAACGAGGGACAGAGGGTTAGACATCCCTTGCCTGGATAGGACTTAAGGGCAGAGCCTGTCACTCATTTCTATTTAGAAGATAGTTCTGAGTGCCCACACGTGTACATAACTTGTCTGGCAGATGTTTTATGAAGGGATGCTGGCTCCATTGCCCCACTGCAGAGCAGATAGTCTCAATACCTTGTCAGGCTGAGTTTCCATGGTTGGGATGGGGTTAGGATGGTCCTACAGCTTCTAAAAGCACAGGGATAAGACCCACTGAAGTATTCAGGTGCAGAACCTGGCCCATAGCAGGCCATGAGTAAGTGGCCTCCCCTCATTTCCTTTCCCTCCTCCACAATAATGGAACAGCCCGACGTGCATGCTGTGTTACCTATCAGAAGAGCAAGAACTGATACCACTTATATGGAAAGAATTGTGAAAAAAGGGTCCTTTGCTCCTTAGGAACAGAAGCTTTTTTTTGTTACTAGCTTGTAATTTTATTCCACTTACTTTTCTAAGAGGAATTAAGTTTTTATTCCATATAACCTTTTGTATTCCAATAGTGGTTTAAAATGAAGTTATTGCAGTAATGAATCAGGAACACTAGATGTCAGGAGAGAACCAACTAAACCCAAAGTTTAGTGTTTACTAATCATTTAGAATAGAATTTAGAGGCCGCCAGGAACCTAAAGAACATCTAATAGTACAATCATTATATTTATTAATACTAATGGTTTGTTGAATTATTATGTTGTGCACCTGAGTTAATATGTCAATTATATCTCAATGAAAAAATACTAATGGATGTATAAACATAGATTTACACCTAATACTAGATGTTTTCTGATCTATGAGGAGGCCCTAAAAGACTTGATTAAAAAAAAAAAGGATGTAAACAATGTTAATCATCTTTTAAGGGCCAGGTACGTTTCTGTACATACATTTGTGGGCTGCCCACAAAATAACAACCCCCTTTTCCCTGCTGCATAAATGGGCAACCTCTAGGCTAGAGGAGGATTTTCCTGGATGGGCAACGAGCCAGAGCCTCATCTCAAGAGATGCTTCTGGGGAGACAGATTGGCAGGGGAGGCACAACGTAAGAACATCTACCGTAAGCAAGACACGGGAGCAAAGGTGCTCTAAACAAATGTGGACCTGATTGGATTTTTCTCCTACAGACTAAAGCAGCGGTCGCCAACCTTTCGGACCTCACGGACCACCAGTGGTCCATGGACCACCAGTTGGCGACCACTGGACTAAAGTTCCTCCACAGAATCTGCTCTAAATCTTCTCAGGGTTTCCCCTTCGAATTTAAGGAAAAGTCTTTAATCATGAGTTTTTCTGCATCAACTTAGCTTTTAGACTTCCAGTTCTCTATCACCTATAATAATAAAAGTGTAATATGCTAACTTGCCTCAATGTCTTTCCAGACAAAGCCAGGGCTGTGAGGGAAGCCTGGGTCCTGGGTGCCTGCCGGTGGCCATAGGGAAGTCCGGGTCCTGGGTGCCAGAGGGAAGCCGGTGCCGGCAGCTGGGGGAAGGAAGGCCTACTCTTGCACAAATTTCATGCATCGGGCCTCTAGTGTATTATAGTTTCTCACAAACCTAATTCGAGCCAGTCTGTTTCACAACACAGCGATTCTTCAGAAACTCACCACACCACTCTGACATCTTTTGCTGCAGTTCAGGATTCAGATGCCCCACCGCTGGCAGACGCCCTGTTTGCACACGTCTGTGATCTTCATGACATCCGTTCTCTGCCTCTCCTCCTCCCCTCTTCGTCTCCACTGCACATAAAACTATCTGATGTAATCTTATGTACTTGCTCGTGGAATTATTCTCTGCCTCCTCACTGGAACATAATGCACATGGAGGTGAGACTTGACGTTGGCCTGTGTGTGGTCAGTGCTGCCTAAATAACTGCTGGGGAGCTGTGTGCTCACTGCTGAGGGACTCCTGCTGAAATTGAGGGTACAATTGAGTCCTGTATTTGAGGGATGAATTACGGTATTTTTAATGGAAATTTTGACTACATGTAACTTTTGCTTTATGCACTCACTTTACAACTTAATCCCCGGAGTAGGATTTGACTCTCTTCTAGAAGATGGTGCCCATGAGGCCACTTTCATAAAATAAGTAACAAGAACCTGGCAACCCAAAAGCCTTTAAAGCCTCTGACCACAATTAATAAGCGCTGATGTCAATGACTTCAAACACCAAATATACTGAAAAAACTATACTGGGCTCACTTTCAATTTTAATAATTCAATCCAAATAACATGAGGCTTTCTTGCTTCCAATTCAAAACCCCTTTCAGCCCAGCATCATACAGAGAAAAACAAAACATAAATCTAGCTCCAAGGAGCACTGAGGAATAAAATAGGTATTGAGTTGAAGTTTTCATTTTATTTTTGTATGAGGCTATGGGGGAGGGAGCAATTGCACTGTAATAAATGCACTAAGATTTCCTACCACACTGTAGACATCGTTCATTCGTAAAGTTCCCAGTCACTCCAATCTCTTTTTCTTCTGCCTCTCTAAACTCTCACTTAATCTTTTTTTTTTTTAAAGGTAAGGAGCCATATATATATTTGATTTTTTACACAGAGGAAGGGAGAGGGATAGAGAGTTAGAAACATCGATGAGAGAGAAGCATCAATCAGCTGCCTCCTGCACACCCCTACTGAGGATGTGTCCTTTGGGTTCTAAATATTGAAGTAGGGTTTTGATGATACTGTAAAATTGTTCCTAAGGTAGACTAATTCCGAATAGTGCCTGCAACCAAGGTACATGCCCTTGACCGGAATTGAACCTGGGACCCTTCAGTCTCCAGGCTGATGCTCTAACCAGTGAGCCAAACCTACCAGGGCCTCTCACTTAATCTTACCTTCTTCTTTCTCCTTTTCCCCATCGCCCCATTCTTTCTTCCATGCAGCTCATGATAGTTCTAATGGAGATTACTGTAGCTCTTCCTGGTTTTCAGTTGGGCAACAACCCTGCTCCCACACTCTGCACAACAAGCTGGGAAGTGTCCAACAGGTCTTCCTTCCTCTCTCGGGTACAGGCTGAGCCACCTCCACCTTTGGGACCACGGGTGTGTGCCACCATATGAATTCTCCTTTGCTGTCCAGCGTCCTGCTCTTACCCCGCAGCATGTGCCACCATTGAATGAACTGAAGAGTGTAGAGGACAAACCCCTGAAATATCCACTTCCCACAGTTAGGCATGCCACGCCCATCTAATTGTGGTTTATTTGTTTAATATTCAAATGCTGTCAGATCAACATACACCACCTGCTTTTCCTCCAGACTCTGCGCCCTGATGCACTAAGCATCTGTGAGGCTGTTTCTTTTTATGTCATTAAGGATGGGAATATACTAATGTAAACACTAATTGGAAAGCTTGAGTAGTTTTTCTGAGTTTTCAATCGTGCTGCTTACTGCATTGTTATTTGGAATTAGTCTATCTTAGGAACAATTTTACAGTATCATCAAAACCCTACTTCAATATTTAGAACCCAAAGGGCAGATTTAATGGCCTTAGTTAACACCCCAATGATGTAGGCTTCATTGTGTGATTCACCTGCTCTTGCTGCTTACTTTCCTGAGCTTCAGGCAAGCTGAAGAAACTGTATGAAAACAGAGTTTGATTGCCCCATGAAAGAGAATGCCATCCTCCTTAGTGAAAAGAAAACCTAGAGTCTCCCAAGTTGGTACCTGAAGAGGACTCTTCACGTGGGGATGGAGAAAAATGAGGATCCCATGAGCACCATTGCCAGGCTTGGCCCCTAACAACCTACCCATGAAATCACTTCTTGTTTCCAAGGCCTTAGGTCAACCAGAACACAGCCTGGGCTGGGCCCCCGAGTTCTGCTTGAGGAGAGCAACCCAGGAGGGCCTACGTTTACGCCCTCGTTGACTAGATGTCAGTTCTCTCCCAGTGGTCTCTGTGGGCAGGTGGCAGTAATTTTCAGCTACTTAAATGCTTCTGGGTAAGTAGGTATAGGATTCAATGTCACTAGATAGCTTCCCCCAACTTTAAATACAAATCTTGTCCTTGACTAGGATTAGATAATTCTTTGTGAAACTTCTTGAAATAAAAATAAAATAGAAGTTTACTCTGCATGTTAACATGTACTTCTGGAGGAAAAACCAAATTGGTGGTGTAGGTAAATGCCTGTACTCGCCGCCTTCCACAATTGCATCAAAATTACATCTAAAAATACAGAACAACCATCATTCAAAACCGACTGAAGTCTGGCTGAATGGAAGTCCTACAACTAGAGAAGTAAAGAAGAAAGAACGTTGAGACTGGTAAAGGGGCAGAGATGCAGAATGGCTTGTCTGAAACCTACATGTGCCATTTTTTTTTTTTAATTGGGAGGGAGATAGTGTCTGTGGAGGCCTCCCATGAGGAGCAAGGGACCCAGCCCACACCAGACTCCCAGCCCAGGGTCTCAGATCTGGGAAGAGAAATCCCTGTAACTACAGACTGTAAAAGCCAGCGGGGATTATGGCTGAGTGACACGGAGGCTGCTGGAATCCCAGGGGTCTGAGGAGAAAGGTTCTGAGCAGAAACTTACGTAGTCTCGCTCCCTCTGAGCTCCAGTGCTGGGCAGTGGCTCTGGGGGATGCAAACACATATGGGAAGGAACTGGATTGTCCGGCATCAGGACAGGAACTCAGGGGAAGCTTTCTCCCAGATGGGGGTGTTGGCAGGGGTCATTGTTCCTGTGCTGTGCCTGTTGCAGTGCTGACTGGCAGCCATATAAGTTTTCATCAACTTGGCCCGCACTACTTGCTCCACCCTGTGATTCCCCCAGACCCCACCCCATCCAATTTATAGCTCCACCCAAGCTGTTTGCAGCAGCTTTTCTATATGAATGGTCTAGCCTGACTCAGGTTTCAGACTTTGCTAAAATCTCTCAAACAAGGTGCAGCTGGCATCAGTATGCTGCTAACCTATCAATAAAAGGCCCAAGACCCTGCACTAGCAAGAGCCTACCTTGCTTCACAGCTGGGCCTATTCTGGGCACCTCCTAGCACAGTGGTTCTCAACCTTGGCTCCACATTAGAATCACCTGGGAATCTTTTTAATATCCTGATTTCTGGGCCTCATCCTCCGGAATGAAATCAGGATTTTAAAAAGATTCCCAGCTGATTCTAATGTGCAACCAAGGTTGAGAACCACTGTCCTAGCACAATACAAATAGCTCCTGCCAGGAGGCCCCAGGCAGTGGCTGACTTTGCACCTCCCTGGAGACCTAGAGCCAGTGCACCCCATTGACACTGTCAGACCATAGCAGATTACAATGCTACACATCCATAAGCAACACACTCAAGAGGCAGACTCAGTGAGCACCAAAGCCCCACTGAAGCAAGTCCTGCTTCATAGGGGTGTTTTCTGCACAGCAGCTCTCCCACTATAGTCACAGCTGGTCCTCATGGCCAATTAGCCTGGAGGACAATTTCTCCCAGAGAGGCCAACAGCAATCAAGGCTCACCTACAAGACTGTGCACACAGCCCACACAGGGGCACATACTAGAGTGCCCAGCTCAGGTGACTGGGGAGGCTGAGCCACTGGTCCCTATAGCACACCTACCAAACAAGGCCACTTTACCAATTCCAGGAGACATAGCAGCTCTACCCAATACATAGAAACAAACACAGGGAATCAGCCAAAATGTGGAGACAAAGAAACAGGTCACAAATGAAAGAAATGGAAACAAGCAAACTACTGGATACAGAGTTCAAAACCACGGTTATAAAGTTACTCAAGGATCTTCATGAGAGCTTCATGAAGAAAATAAAAATACAAACAATAAAATGGCAATAAATACATATCTATCAACAATTGAATCTAGAAATCAAAATAAACAAACAAGAAATCTAATGAACAAAATAAACTGGTGAATAAAGTAGAATCAGAGGCATGGAAACATGGAACAGACTGACGACTCCCAGAATGAAAGGGATTTGGGGATGGGCAGAGATCACCAAAGCACTCCAGGTAAAAAACAATCTAGTAAAGGTGTGTTTTGGTCAGTATGTAATGGAGGCGTAAAGACAGGTGTCATTTTAAGGCTGGGCTAAGGACTTTAACAGGAAAGCTATATTCTGATTCCATATCTTAATTATGTCAGTTACTGTGTTTATAAAAAAAGATCTTACCTATGGTCACAGACAGTAGGGTGGTGAAGGCTTGCGGCGGTGGAAACCAGGTGGAGGAGGGGCAATAGGGGGATAAAGGAGGAATATCTGTAATACTCTCAACAATAAAGATTAAAAAATGTACTCTGAGTGCACATTAAACTCTATGCCAGTGGACTCCAGCCCTTGGACCTCAAGGTGACAGCTAAAGTGAGCCATGGCTGCAAGAACTTGTTGGCCTGAAATATCTGCTTCCC